ATATATAAAGTTTTATAATCATATCACTGGGAGGTACTGGGAGATTCTTTTTCACAATATAGTAAAAGGAAGCTAAGCTACCTTCTCCAAATTCCATAACCATTTGTGGTATCTTATTAATTACATTAAACTATAGTGGAAATGGAATCACAAAGATATGTCATTTTTAAGAGCAGGAGCTATAGTGGTGGGAAAAAGCAAAGGTGGGTCACTACACCTCCTTATACCAAAATACTCATTGTAAAAATAATAAAACCATAAAAGTATTAAAAGAAAACATAGGTGGATATTTTTTATAATCATAAGGTACAGAAGTCCTAAGACTGAAAATCAGAAAATACAAGAAAAAAAAAATGATGCCAATTACACATAAATTACACACTTTAAGTCAAAGCACACAATAAACAAAACTCAAAGGATAAACTTGTAAAAAGCACTTTCATGATTTTGATGAAAAAAGGTTAGAATATAATATATATTAACATATATTTCAGAATAAATACAGACTAGGCAGACATCTTCAAAAATCTAATAAAAAGAAATATAACAATGTGGAAAATACATGAAGAAGTAAATCGCAGATTAAAAATTGTCAACACTAAAATATCACTAAATAAATAATAAACTATTATTAAAAAAATCTATTATATGGGCAAAGATTTTTAAGAATGACTAATATCCTGTAGATGTAAGCAGTCTTTTATACTGTTCATGGAGTATAAATTAGCATGAATTTTCTAGAAAGCAACTCAACAGTATTTATCAAAATATAATATATAATCATCTATACCTAGTCAATCCTTTTTTACAAATTTATCATTCTAATACACTTGCAGAAATACTCAAAGTTATATGTGCAAGCATTTTTAATACAATATATCCCAAGAGCTGAAAGTGAGAATCCTAATCATCCCTCAATATTGGATTAAATAATAGCATATCAATAATTATAAATAGCAAAATTTCTATATGCATATGCTATAATAAATAAATGCCCTAAAAACAGAATGTTATGCAGACAGCAAAAATATTAAGATATATTAATATGTAACAAGACAGGAAAAGAAACCTAATAACTTAAGTTTGTGTAATGATTCCACTTTTGAAAATGTATGGCACATTTTGCAAATATATTACACATTTTAATAATAACTTACATTTATGGAACACCGTTCTATACTGACATACATGGGATGTGTGTTGCCATGAGTTAGAATCAACTAGATGGCACTGCTTATTTTACAGAGTGCTTACCCTGATGGTGCAGTGCTTAAGGGCTCAGCTGCTAACTGTCAGGTTGGTAGTCCGAATCCCTCAGCCACTGTGCAGGAGAATGATGAGGCAGTCTACTTCCATAAGGATTACTGCCTTGGAAACCCTAGGGGGCAGTTCTACTCTGTCCAATATAGGGTTGCTATGAGTTGGAATTTGACTCAATGGCAATAAGTTTGGTTTGGGTTTTTGGTTAATGTGAAAGCCAGGTACTGTTTTTTAAGTGCTTTATATACACTGATTCATTTAATCTTCACAACATCATCATGAGGAAGTGAAGTTCAAAGTAATTTGCCCAGGATCACATATTTTAAAAGCACTATTCTACACTGCCTCTTTAAACTTAAACATATTTTTACATCCTATTTTTTGCATTTCCACCAAACAAATGAAATAGAGAAAAAATTGCAACATCATGCATAAAATAAGGCATCTGTAACAAAATCAAATAATCGATGAAACACATTCCCAAACAGTTACTAGCACCATAAATTGAGATTATAAAAAATGTACTAACTCTGAACTAATATAGTAGCCACTAGCTATACTTGTAGGAGCTCTGGTGGCATAGTGCCTAAGGCATTTGACTGCTAACCAGAAGGCTGGAGGTTCAAACCCACCAGCCACTCCTAGGAAGGAAGGTTGGGCAATCTACTTCTGTATTAATACCACCTCAGAAACCCAAGGAGGGGCACTATGTCTGACTTGACGGCAGTGAGCGAGCTATACTTGTGCCTGACCCTAAGCCATTATTTTTTCAAAAGCCTAATACGCATGTAAAGCTGGACAATGAATAAGACCGCAGAAGAACAGATGTATTTAAATTATGCTGCTGCTGAAGAATACTGAATATACCACAGACTTCCAGAAGAACAAACAAAAGAAGTACAGCCACAATCTCCCTTTAGAAGTGAGAAAGGCCAGGCTTCGTCTCTCATTCTTTGTTCACATATCAGGAGGGATTAGTCCCTGGAGAAGGAAATCAAGCTTAGTAGAGAGTGAGCAAAACCAGGAAGAATCTCAATGAGATGGACTGACACAGTGGCTCCAAGAAAGGGCTCAAGCACAGCAACTGATTGTGAGGACTAGGCAGTGTTTTGTTCTATTATACATAGGGTTGCTATTAAGTGAAAGCCAACTTGACAGCACCTAATAACAACAGCAGCCATGCACAGGCTAGTGAGCACCTGGTGTGACTCAAGAGTTAAGTTTTAAATTTTAATAAATTTAAATAGCCACTTATGACTAGTTGTTATTATATTAGAAAGAATAAGTCTAGAGTACTCTATAGGAAGAGATGACTATGCTAATACCCAAAACATGTGACTTTGAGTATGAATATAATATAGGTATTTCCCAAAGTTCATCACCCTGAAAAGCTTCGATTAAACTAATAAGCTATAATATTGAGAATAGGCCAATATAACATGGTCTTCAATGTATACCTCCTAGCTGAGAAAGGGTATTAAAAGTAGAATGAGGTGGCTGAAGGATTGAGGGGATTAGAGCCCAGGAAGCCTGTGAAGCTTGGAAGGCTATGTTAACCTCTTGAATACATGAATTTAAGTGGGGCTACATCTCACCAAATAAACCAAAGTAGTTCTGGTGGTGTAGTGCCTAAGGTATTTGACTGCTAACCAGAAGGCTGGTGGTTCAAAATCAACAGCCGTTCCTCAGAAGGAAGACTGGGCAATTTACTTCTGTAGAGATACCACCTTGCAAACCTGAGGAAGGGTCACTATGAATCGAATCAACTTGTTGGCTGTGAGAAGAAGGCTATATAATAGATAAGTCCTTAACTATTATTAAGCAGTTGTTACAGTATGTTGAAGTCTAGTCCTTACTTGTGAATGTGACCCTGTTTGGGGAAACAGGGTTTTTCTTTGCAGATGTTATGTGTTAAATTAACTATGCCATACAGGAAGGAGCTCTGGTAGCATAGTGGCTAAAAGCACTTGACTGCTAACCAGAAGGCTGGCGGTTCAAACCCACCAGCCACTCCTCGGAAGGAAGGTTGGGCAATCCTACTTCCGTAGTGATACTGCCTCGGAAACCCAAGGAGGGGTCGCTATGAGTTGGGGCCGACTCGACGGCACATAACAACAACAACAACAACATACAGGAATAGAGTGAGTTCTAATCCTACATGACTGATGTCTTATGAAAGAGGAAGATGGGCACAGAAACACAGTCACAAAGTGAAAGAAGATAGACACTACAGAAGCAGATGTATCTATAAGCAGTCTAGGAATACCAAGATTGGCTGGGAGAACCCAGAAACTAGAAAAGGCACAGAACAGCTCCTCTGTCATATCCCTTAAGAAGAAATGACAAAGCTAATACCCTGATTTTGACTTCTAGCCTTTAGAACTGTGAGAAAATAAATTTCGGTTCTTTAAAATATCCACTTTGTGGTATTTTATTATAGTAGCTCTAGTAAGACAATAGGTATCAAGTTCCTAAAAAAAAACAAAAAACAGTAAGTAGAAAGGTACAAACACAGGAAAACTTAAATATTCAAGGAAATTATAAACACAGTATGTTGTCTTTAAAGAGGAGAGTCAGTGTTTAAAACAGATAATAAAATAACACAAAGTGCTTTTGTTGAACTCAAAAGAGATATTGAAGAGAAACATAAAAGCACTGAAGAAATGAAAACCACATTACAACAACCAAACACCCAAGAAACATAACTGAGAAAAAAGATAGAATACTTGAAGTTAGACCTAAGGGAGCAACACTGAACTAAAAGGACAGAACAATAATGTAAGAATGATTAACTAGGTCACATACACAGATGATGAAGGACATTCAAAGTATGCATAACCAGTACATGAAACAAAAATTGCTAGAAATGAAAAGATAAACAGGCAATACAACAATAATGGTTGAAGACTTCAGTATCTCTCACTTCTAACAGTGGATAAACCAATCAGGCAGGAAATCATTAAGGAAACAGAGGATTTGAGCAACACTATAAATGAACTAGACTGTTAACAGATACCTACAGAATACTCCATCCATCAAAAGGATATACATTTTTCTCAAATGCACATGGAACGTTCTCAGTAAAATGTTAGGCCATAAAACAAACTTCAATATTTTTAAAAGCATAGAAATAACACAAAGTATGTTCTTCAACTACAATAGATTAAGATTAGAAATCAGTAACAGAAAAAAATTAGAGAAATTCACAATTCTGTAGGAATTAAACAATACATTCCTAAATAACCAATGGGTTACAGAAGATCTCAAAAGAAAAATTAGAGGAAAGTTTGAGATAAATGAAATGAATATACAACATACCAAAGCTTATGAGGCACAATTAAAGCACTGCTTAGAAGAAAATTTGTAACTGAAAATGCAATGTTTATAAGAAAGGTCTCAAAACACATGAATAGACACTTCACTAAAGAGGATATAAAGGTGGCCAACCAACATGTGAAAAAATGTTCATGATCACTGCCATTAGAGGGATGCAAATCAAAACAACGAGATAGCATCTCACCCCAAAACTAATAGCAAAGTTCAACAAGACAGAAAATAACAAATGCTAGCAAAGATGTGGAGAGATCAGGACTCTCATATATTGTTGGTGGGACTGTCATATGGTACAACCACTGTGAAAAGCAGTATGGCAATTCCTTAAAAGATTGGAATTAGAAATACCATTTGACCCAGCAATTCCATTACTAGGTATATATCCTAAAGAAGTGAGAGGCAGGACAAGAACTGATATATAAACACTCATGTCCATCACAGCACTATTTACAACAGCAAAAAGATGACAGGTGTCCATCAACAGAAGAATGGATAACCAAACTATGGTACATATACACAATGGAATATTATCCAACAGCAAAGAATAACGTAGAATCTGCAAAACACTGCATGATGTGGATGAACTGGAAGGACATTAAGCTGAGTGAAGTCAGTCACAGAAGGACAAATACTGTATTACTCCATTATTGTAAAAAGTCAAGGAAAGGTTTATATATGAAAGGAAACTTTCTTCGTTGGTTACCAGGGAGGGGAGGGGAGGGGAGGGAACACTGCTAGACAGGTTGAGACAAGTACTGATTTGGGTGATGGGAAGGGCAATGTACCAAATATGAGTGATCACCATGGTGGTAAGGAGGAAGAGAAAGACACAGAGAGGTGCATGGGAGGTAGAGATAACAAAGATGAGCCCTTTTGCACATACAGTACTACGTTGTCAGTGATGACTAACATTGATATATGGGGGGATAGATGGGTGGACAGGCTGAACAATCAGGATGTCTAGTCAGGGGTTAGTGTGTCCATGACCATGTATAGGGTTGGCAGACAATGTTGCTACAAGGGTATTTGTATGTTCTGTAGGAATGTCTATATATATAGTAGAGCTGACAAGGTACAAGTTTGTAGTCACTTCTTGGCCATAGCCAGCTACGTGGAAAGAGCGAATAGTTGGACCTGTGGGCTGGGGACCACGGTCACAGGGGACATCAAGCTCAATTGGCGTAACATACTACGCAAGAACACTGCTCCACATCCCACTTTGGCGAGTAGTGACTGGGATCTTAAAATCTTGCAAGTGGCCATCTGGATGTCACAATGGGTCTCTCCTCATTCAGAGCAAAGAAGAACAAAGAAAACCAAAGATGCATGGAAACAATTATTCCAAGGGACTGGTACACCATGCAAGCCTCAGCCTATATGACTATGAGACCAGAAGAACTAGATGGTGCCCAGCTACTACTGTCAACCACTTGAAGGAAGATCTATGTAGGAGATCCTAGATAGAGTTGGAGAACAATGTGGAACAGAAATCAAAATCATGGGGGAAAAAAAAAAAAGGACCAGGTTTGTTCGTCTGATAGAGCCTCGTGAAACCCCTGAAACTATGGCCCCTAGCTGCTCTTCAGGAATGGAAGCCATTCCTGTGACTTCCAGCCAAACAAAAGGCAGGCATATGAGCTGAACATTTATATTATGTAGATACATGTCTTGGAGAGATCAATCATGGGAGAATAGAAGGGCTCTGTATGCACAGAGAGACAGCTCAGGGGGGCAGAAGTGCATGGGAAGGAAGAACACAGGGACAAGGTAATTATGGGGAGGAAGTGAGAGGGGAATTGATGCACTGTGGGAAATTACAGTAAATGTCATGAGACAAAGTATTTGTGAACGACTGTATGGAAAATGAATTTTCTCTGTAAACTTTCACCGAAAATACAATAAAAAATTGAAAAAAAGAAAGGTCTCCAAACAGTAACCTAACATTAAGACACTGGAAAAAGAAGAACAAACTAAACCCCAAAGTAAGCACTAAGAAGGAAATAATAAATATTAAGAGAATGAAAAAATAGCAAAAATGAATGAAATCAAAGGCAGTTCTTTGAAAAATATAACACAATTAACAAATCATTACTTACTTTGACCAAGAAAAACAGAACCAGAAATTACTTAAGTCAGAAGAAAAGGGCATAATTACTATTGATCTTATAGAAGTAAAGAGTATTATAAACGGATATGATGGACTACAGAGCTAAAAAAAACCTCAATGATGCTATATAAAAAAATGAAAAAAAGGCTGACAGTACCATGCACTGGCAAAGATGTACACAGAGATCCTCAACCCCATTAATAATCAGACTGGCAGAAATTTAAAATATTTGTGGGGAAGGATGTAGAAAAGGAGGAATGCCCATATGCTACTGGTAGATATGTAAGGTAATGCAACCCGTTTGGAAAACCATTCGACATCATCTTTGGTTTAACTTGCCCATTCCTGATGTTTATACTCTATAGCAAAGCTCTTTCACATAGGCACCAAGATTCACATACACAACATGTATGTGAATTAAAGTAGAATTTTTAGAATATGAAGAAAACTGGACAGTACCCAAACATCCCCATTAGAATAATGTACAGTCATATGATGAAATATAATATATATAAAAATGAAAACAAACATTTGTACATATCAACATGGAAGAATCACACAAACATAATACTGAGCAAAGAAGTCACAAGTATACATGCTGTATAATTCAATATATATAAAATGGAAAATAAGTAAAAACATAACTATTTTGTTTAGAGCTTCATACTATATTAGAAAATAATATCCAGACAATTTAGATCAGCACAGATGCTATTGAAGTAGAATACTCATGTCCCTTACCAGCTCTCTTAAGAAATCCGGTTGAGAGAGATCTCAGAGATGTCATAAGATATCCATTATCTATTTTTTGACCAATAAATTTAACTGTTACTATTGCATATGGAAGGCACTGCCTAGGTTTATCTACTGGCTTTGAAAGAATATTGTATTCATAGAAGTAAACCTGAAAAATAAAGAAAGAAAAAAAGGTCATTTTTATGCTGATTAATTTTAGAAATCAGACTTAAAAAGCTATTTTTAAAACTCATATAACTGCATGTTATTTATTCACCTACTTCCATATACTCCTACTTTCTTCAACCTTAGTTCTTTTGCATATCTATAAAATTTCTATTCCACCACATATTTTTTCCTTGGTAGGCTACTAATGCTTGCAGAAGTACATACAATCTGTTTTTAAATAAAAATTTTCTCATTAAAATGTAAATGTCTTACATATGGTCTGAACCAATATACTGTATTTTATTTAGTGGGAAAAGTCAATTAGGAAAATAACAATATGTAAGAATATACACCAAAGATTAAAGACCCATTAGGTGTTTCAGCAAGAACTCTGATGGCATAATGGGTAAGGGATTTGGTTGTTAACCAGAAGGTCCATGGTTCAAACCCACCAGTTGTCTGTGGGAGAAAGATAAGGCAATCTAGTTTCCTAAAGAGTTACAGCCTTGGAAACCCAATGGGGGTCAGTATGAGTTGGAATCTACTCTATGGCAGTGGGTTTGGATTTTTGGGTTAAGTGTTGGAGCAACATAAGATAGTTGCATATAGTACTTAATAGTAAAAGAGCCCTGGTAGTACAAAGGTTAAGTGGTCAGCTGCTAACTAAAAGGGTGGCTGTTTGAACCCTACTAGCTGCCTCAGTGGGAGTAAGACCTGGCATTTCTGTAAAGATTACAGCCTAAAAACCCTATAGAGCAGTTTTACTCCATCACAGGGGGTTGCTACATGTCAGAAATAGATTGAAACAACAATAATAAAAGTTTCCTCCTTTTGAAAAGTACAAATGATCAATAATATTGTTACAAAATAGCCTGTTTAAAAGAGAAGTTGGTATGTTTGTAAATTAGGAATTCATCTACAGAACATCAAAATAAAGTAGCCACTGTAGTTTGAATAAGTTAAATGTAAATTAGGAAACGTCTTTCTTAGCATTCCCAGATCACAAACACTGAAACAGCTTTCATCATTTATTTAAGGTTATATTATATTGAATGGATTAAGAAATTCTCATTTAACATTTTGGGAAATTAAAAATCTTTTATCACACATTGTGAAGCATGGGACTTTTAAGCAGTCACATAAATGAAAAGTTAACGTACTGCTGAACTATAGGCTTGTAGTTCAATGGAATCTTTCAGAGAAGGTGTGTTTCTTGACATATGACAATCAAAATTAGGTGAAGGGTCCAAAGACACTTTGTTTTTATCCACAGACGGCTGAATTTTCTTCACTCTTCCGAAGAGAACCTAAAAGCAGATAATTTTAAAAAATAAAAAGAATATATCAAAGTATTTCAGAACTCATATACTTGGAACAGAAATAAAGAGCAACTATTTTTAAAGAATTAAGATATATAAATGGAGCTACAATCTTTGTCCCAAATGAATGGGTTGACTCAACACTAATTTTGCCAACTCTCTCCCAAATTAAACTCTAACAGTTATAGTAACTGCAAAATATGTTGCAAAAACTATTTTTAGAAGTTATTTTTACTCTAAAAACTAATTTGGAAGACTAAACAAATAAGAGCTGCCAAGAAATTTTTAGAAAAAACTTTCACAAGGGTAGATAGAGAATAGAGTAGGTGACTTGCATTTCCAAATATTTAAGTCATGTTTTAAAAGGACAGTACTCCCACAAGAAAAGGCAGGGGGAAAATAATTGGAACAAATTAAGAAGTCCAGAAATAAAACCAAGCATATACAACAATGCAGTATAATATTAAAGATACCATTTGTGATAACTGAAGCAAGAGTATTCAATGGTCTAGGACAACTGAAAAATTTAAACTTTTTATCTATAAACCAAAACAAATACCAATCAAGTTAAATATTTAAGTATTAAAGGACAATGAATATATTATAGAAATACAAGCAAGTATTTGTCTAATTTCAAGTGAGAAATCTTTTCTAAGAACACATGTCAAGAAACTATGAACCAAAAACTCATAAACTGGTAATAAAATATTCTAAAACTTCTATACACCAAAAACAAATAAGTATAAAAGTTTTTAAAAAAGCTATGAATAAAACTAAGTGACAAAGGACATGATGGAAGAAAGTGCATTGAATATGACAAAAGTTTCACATTTTATTTAAACTCAGTAATTTTATTACTTTTATTTCTTAAATGTTAATAATTCATTAAAAAAAATATAATGTGGTATCCTGGACTGGATTCTAGAAGAGAGAAGATACTGGTGGAAAAACTAGCAGAAGCCAAATAAATTTACCTTTAGCTAACAGTACTTAACCAATGTTAATTTCTTAGTTCTGACAAATGAACCATGATGTTAAATTAACATTAGGGGAACTGGGTTAATTATAAATGAGTATTATCTTTGCAAATTTTCTGTAATTCTAAAAATTATTCCAAAATAAAAAATTCATTTAAAAAATCCACTAAATAATAAAATATTATACAGAGAAAAAGGAGCCCTGGTGGCACAATAGTTAAGTGCTCAGCTGCTGAGCAGAAAGTGAACTGTTCAAACACACCAGGCACATCACAGGAGAAAAACAAACCAACCCACTACCATCAAGTCAATTCTGACACACAGTGATCCTACAGGAGAGAGCAGAACTGCCCTACAGGGGTTCCAAGGCTGTAAATCTTTACAGAAGCACACTGTCTCATCTTTCTCCCACAGAGTAGATGGTGGACTTGAACCATCAAACACCTGGGTAGCAACTGAATACCTTAACCACTGTACCACCAGAATTCCTTAATACAGAACAAAGATCTGGCTGTCTGCATTGGTGAAGAACACAACTTAGAAAACTTATTGGGCAGTTCTACTCTATCACATGAAGTCAGTGAGTCAACCCAACACCACCTAACACGACCACCACCACAATACATTAGGAAGAGGGTTTCCTAATATCTTTAAAATACAGGGTTAGAAAAGATTAGCTTTCAAAATACACATTAATGAAAGCAAGAATAAGAAAAACAAAATATGAAGAAAACTGGCAAAAGATATTAACATTCCATGAATATGTTCGTTGCTGTTGTTGCTGCTGTTGTTATGTGCTGTTGAGTAGGATCTGACTCATAGCGACCCCTCCTTGGGTTTCCGAGGCAGTATCACTACCGAAGTAGATTGCCCCATCTTCCTTCCTAGGAGTGGCTGGTGGGTTTGAACCACCAGCCTTTTGATTAGCAGTCAAGTGCCTTTGGCACTATGCTACCAGAGCTCCTATGAATATATATAGACTATGTAAACAAAAACACACGTTAAAAAAAAGGAAAATGAAAAAAACTGAACCAACATTGAAAAACTATTACATATCATGATGGCAAATTTTTTTTAAAAAAAGTATATTCTCTGGAGTTAGTGAGGGTGTGCAATAATAGACATTCCCACATACTATGGATGGAAATGTCTACTAGCACAAAGCTCTTTTCAAAGAGCCCTAGAGGTAAGTGGTCAAGTGCTCAGCTACTTACCAAAAGGTTGGTGGTAAGAACCTAACAGCTGTTCTATAGGAGAAAGATGTTGGGTCTGCTTCCATAAAGATTACAGCCTTGGAAACCCTATGGGGCAGTTCCGCTCTCTCAGGACAAGTAGGTACTACATTATCAAAAGTTGTAAAAGTATACACATCTTTTGACTCCTAATTTGACATATAGGGAATTAAACAATTCTTAGCAAATAATCATAAATATGTGTAAGAATATATCTACAAGGATGATCAAAGTAGTATTTAGAAGTGCAAAACAAAAACCAACCAAAAATCTAAGAACTTATATCCCAATATTTGAAAATTCGTTAGGCAAACTTATGGTGGAGGTTTCCTAGGGAATACTATGCAGCCATTATATATTGTACTATAGAAATATTTAATGGCATGGAAAAGTTAATTTTATAATTAGTGAAAAAAGGCAGGTTATAAAGTATTACATAAAAGCAAGAACATATTTTAATTATAATTATATACATATATCTGTGTACATAAACAGAAGACTAACTATATACCGAAATACTAAATATGGTTATTAATAGGCCTTTGGAGCTTTTTGGTATGTTCCAAATTTTCTAAAACAAATATTTATTATTTTTAATATAAAAATAATTTGTGAATTTGATGTATTTAAGATCTAAAATATAAGGAATTATACCTAATGAGCCATTAATCTTCTGTGGATATACATACATCTTAAGTTGTCCTTACACAAATAAGGATACTAACTACTACTGTGATTTTAGGAGTCCTGGCAAAACTAAATTTACCAAGAGTTAAAAAAAATAATACTAATTTGTTCGTTGATGCTTGAGATTCTGCTGTAACAGTTATTTTTTCTACTCTAATTTTAGACTTTCAGAAAAGTTGTGAAATTAGTTCGGAACTCACATATATGCTACATCCAGCTCTTCCTAATGTTAACTAACATCTTATATAACCAAGCAACAATGATCAAAATTAAGTAATTAACAATGGTACAAGATCATTAATTTAGCTGTAAAGGTTTAGCAATTTCGTTTACATCAGAATTATCAAAACACAATGTCTTAGAGGAGGACACTTAAAATGCTATGGTATAAATTATGCTCTGGACAAAATAGACAAAGAGAACAGGGTCAAACAGAACACAGAAAAAGATGCGTATTGGGAAGACAAAGATGATAAAGACAGTGTTTGCTTACTTGGAATTTTGCTTTTGCTTCATGCCCAAGTAAAGATATAGGTATACAAAAAATTTTCGATGATGATGATAATAATAAATATAATTATTAGTTATTTTATATAATGCAATTTAAAAACACTAGTAATACATATTGAAAAGACAACACATTCAGAAAAATTTAGAGAAACCATCTACGATATTTAATATTTGGTTTATACTACCTAGCTTAAAAATTATAATACTTTCTACAGTAATATTTCTACTATGAGCATAATTCAAGGCAACATCAACATACGATATTTAATATTTGGTTTATAGTACCTACCTTAAAAATTATAATACTTTCTACAGTAATGTTTCTACTATGAGCATAATTCAAGGCAACATCAACATGTCTAAATGTATAAATTCCAAGAAGAGGATTTCCTAATATTTTTAATGTAGATGTGTTGGTACTTATTCCATTCTGATATATATTAACCACATCTTGTTGTGGAAGTGCTAAAAAGCAGAAATGTTCTTCAAGTTCTCTGCCATGCCTTCCACTTTCACGCATCTCTGACCTAAAACAAAATAATATCTAGTTAAATAAAAATTATCAGGATAATTTTCAATGAGAAGATAAATGTTTCATATCACCAGAGATAGAAGACAATAAAATTAATGATAACCTTGAGAGATATGACTATCCCATGGTAACAAAGTTAGGCTGAAAGCAATCTATAAATTTAAGAATGGGCTAGATAACTACCTATTCAGGATTTATGGATTGTATTTTGTTTGAATCAGTGATAATAATGTTAAGGGCTAACATTTCTTGAATACAGTTTATATGGCAAACACTTGTTAAATCTTAAGCTTTACATGCATTTTGTCATCTCGTCCTCAGCTTCTCAAGAAGGTGTTTTTATTTTTGTTGTTACACACATTTTAAAAATGAGAAGAATGAAACTCAGAAAGCTAAAGCTTGCCAAAATAACAAAGTGCTGGAGTTAGAATTATACATGTCAGCTCTTCTGTCATGTTATAGAGCTCAAGTTCATAGTAATTATGTTAAGAAGAGAAGAATATGTACTTCCTAAGTGAAAACTATAGAAAAGGTCAATTATTAGGGCATTCTCCAGTATTCAGAGATACAGGTAACAGCTAGGAAAAACAAGATTTGATTACAAACTCCTATTTTATCAGTAAGAAAATTATGAATCATCTTCAGAAAACATTACAATCGAAAGTATATATTATTGTTGTTATGTGCCATCGAGTCGGACCCGACTCATAGCGACCCCTCCTTGGGTTTCCGAGGCAGCATCACTACAGAAGTAGATTGCCCCATCTTCCATCCGAGGAGTGGCTGGTGGGTTTGAACCATCAGCCTTCTAGTTAGCAGTCAAGTGCCTTAGGCACTATGCTACCACAGCTCCCTTGAAAGTACATATATCCTTGAAATTTTAAATCTAATCATATCAATAATTACATTAAATGTAAGTGATGCAAACACTATCACTAAAAGGCAGGGAGTTTCAGACTATTAATAAAAAGCAAGACCCGATCAATCTATTGTCTATAAGAGACTAATTCTAAAAATGAAGTCATATGTTAAAAGAATGAAAAAAGATATACACATATGTGTCACTTAACAATCACAATGCATTCTGTGAAATAGGAAGTTATGTGGTTTGGACATTGTGTGAATACCATATTAAAACCTTATGGGAGCCTGCTTCTGGTCATCCTCAACACAGATGTGTATTGCAGGTTGTTAATGAGCCTTCCTCCAATCCTGATGCCACGTTTTTATTCATATAGCCCAGCTTCTTGTATTATCTGTGCAGCATACAGATTAAATAAATATGGTGAAAGGATACAACCCTGACGCACTCCCTTCCTGATTTTAAACCATGCAGTATCCGCTTGTTCTGTTCAAGGAAAGCCTCCTGGTCTATGTACAGGTTCCTCATGAATACAATTATGTGTTCTAGAATTTCCAATCTTCTCAATCTTATCCACAATTTGTTATGATCCACAAAATCAAATGCTTTTGCATAGCCAGTAAAACACAAGTAAACATCTTTCTGGTATTCTTTGCTTTCAGCCAAGAACCATTTGACATCAGATATGATATCCATCGTTCCACGTCCTCTTCTGAATCTAGCTTGCGTTTCAGGAAGTTCTCTGTCAATATAGTGCTGCAACCGTTTTTGAATTATCTTCAGTAAGATCTTACTTGCGTACGATATTAATGATATTGTTTGATAATTTCCACATTCTGTGGGATTACCTTTCTTTGGAATGGGTACAAACATGGATCTCTTCCAGTCCCTTGGCCAGGTAGCTGTCTTCCAAATCTTTTGGCATCACCGAGTGAGTGCCTCAAATGGGGCATCCGTTTGTTGAAATATCTCAATCGGTATTGCATCAATTCCCGGAGCCTTGTTCTTTGCCAATTCCTTCATTGCAGCTTCGACTTCTTCCCTCAATACCACTGGTTCTTGATCATATGCCACCTCCTGAAATGGATGAACAGCAACCAATTCTTTTTGGTACAGTGACTCTGTGTATTCCTTCTATTTTCTTTTTGATGTTTGCTGTATCATTCAATATATTGCCCACAGTATCTTTCAATATTACAACTCGAAGCTTTTTTTCCTCAGTTGAATTTCTCTTTCAGCTTGAGAAATGCCGAGCGTCTTCTTCCCTTCTGGTTTTGTAACTCCAAGTCTTTGTACATTTAATTATAATAATCTCGAGCTGCTCTTTGAAATCTTCTGTTCAGCTCTTTTATCTTGTCATTTCTTCCACTTGCTTTAGCTACTTTCCATTCAAGGACAAGTTTTAGAGTCTCTTCTGACATCCACTTTGGTCTTTTCTTCCTTTCCTGTCTTTTATTATTATTATTGTGCTTTAGGTACAACTTTACAGAACAGAGTTTTACATTCAACATTACATGTACATTTAGTTTCACTCTCCATTTACCATCTACAACCCTAACCCAGTCTCCTCCCCTCCCTGCCCAGCAACTCCCTCTCCCCGCGTGCCCCTCATAGTTATGCACTCTTGTGTGTCCTACATTTCCTCCATGCAAATGTTGCCCCTATGGTGCCTCGTCTTTCCTGTCTTTTTATGATGTTTTGCTATCTTCATGGATGATGTTTCTTGACGTCATCCCACGATTCCTCTGGTTTTCAGTTATTGGTATTCAATGCATCATTCTTTAGATGGTCTCTAAATTTAGGAGGGATATAATCAAGGTCATATTTTGGCTCTTATGGACTTCTTTTAATTGTCTTTAGCTTCAACTTGAACTTAACTTATGAGCAGTTGACGGTCTGTTCCACAATCAGCTCCTAGCCTTGTGCTCGCTGAAAGCACTGACCTTCTCCATTGCCTATTGCCACAGATGTAGTTAATCTGATTCCTGTGTACTCCATCTGGTGAAGCCCACATGTATAGCTGCCATTTGTGTTGCTGGGAAAAAAGTATTTGAAATGAATATGTCATTGCTGTGTTGTTGTTGTTGTTAGGTGCCGTACAGTCATTTCTGACTCATAGTGACCCCATGCACAGCAGAACGAAACACCGCCCGATCCCACGCCAGCTCCATGATCCTTGCTATACTTGAGTTCACTGTCACAGCCACTGTGTCAATCCATCTTGTTGAAGGCCTTTCCATCTTTCATCGACCCTCCACCTTACCAAGCATGACATCCTTCTCCAGGGAATGGTCCCTTCTGACAACATGACAAAAGTAGGTGAGACGAAGTCTGGTCATCCTCACTTCCAAGAAGCATCTCGGTTGCACTTCCTGCAGGACAGAGCTGTTAGTTCTTTCAGGAGTCAATAGTACCTTCAGCATTCTTCGCCAGCACCACAACTCAAAAGCATCATCAACTCGTCTTCGATCTTCCTTATTCAATGTCCAGCTCTAACATGCATATGAGGCGACTGGAAATATCATGGCTTGTGTCAGGCACACCTTAGTCCTCAAGGAGACATCCCTGCTCCTCAGCACTTGAAAGAGTCCCTTGGTGGCCGACCTGCCAGTGTTACACATCATCTAATGTCCTGACTGCTGCTTTCATTGGCATTGATTGTAGAACCAAGCAATGTGAATTCTTTGACAACCTCAATCTTTTCCCCATTTATCGTGATGCTGCTCTTTGGTCCAGTTGTGAGGATTTTTGTCTTCTTCATATTGCGATGTAATCCATACTGCAGACTGTGTTCCTCAATCTTCATCAGTAAGTGCCTCAAGTCATCCTTACTTTCAGCAAGCAAAGTTGTAGCATCAGCGTATCTCAGGTTGTTAATGATTCTTCCTCCAATTCTAAGGCCACATTTTTATTCATATAGTCCAGCTTCTTGGATTATTTGCTCAGCATAGAGATTGAATAAGTGTGGGGAAAAGAAACAACCCTGATGCAATCCCTTCCTGATTTTAAATCACGCAGTGTCCCCTCGTTCCGTTCAAACTACAGCCTCCTGGTCAAGGTACAGGTTCCTCATGAGTACAATCAAGTGTTTGGGAATTCCCATTCTTCTCAATGTTATCCATAATTT